CCGGGTGCGGCGCCGGGGATGCTCGCGTCGCTACCGCCAGGGGACTGCCCGAGGCGGCTCCTCGAAACAAAGGCGCCGGGCGGGGCAGGCGCGCCCAAGGGACCCAGGGGAGCGGAGGAGGGGACAGCCCACCTTCCCACAGAAGTTCCTGGGGGATGGGGCCCCGGGCAGGTGGGGAATGGAAATTGGGAAAGATAGGCAGCAAGACACTGGGGTTCTCCCCAGCTCTGCGGGAGGCGGGACGGGGGAGGGGGTTCGTGAGTACCGGGGAGGGGGTGCAGTGCTCTCTGGATTTGGAAGTGGGAGGTTTCAAGGACTGCCGGAGTCCTTAAAACTGCCTCTGCCTTGGACCTGGCAGCCTGGAGCTTTCATTCACTCGCTGCACAGACATCCTCCCAGCTATGTCCAAACCAAGGATGCTCCTAAACTTGAAAGGACTGAAGGCAGGAAGCCTGTGGAGCCCTGAGATGCTTGAGTCTTGCTCCCTAACGTCCACGAAGGGTGGCCTCTGAATATGGCTTGCACATCTCAGTGGTGGAAAGCTCACCCCCTCAGGACGCAGCTCATGCTGTACTCAGGCAGCTCTGAATGTTAGAAAGCCCTTTCTTTAATTGCATGGACATCTGCATCGCGTCCCTTTGTTGGCCAAGGCCTCACTCTGCTCTGGCCACAAAATCCAGAACGTAGTTCGGGCCTTGTAACTGAGATTCTCCTTCCCATCCTCCTTCCCCTCCCCAGCATTTATTCAGCACCCTTTGCCAGCAGCTTCTCCCTAAGGCTGCCCTCTTGTGTCCTTCAGGCAGGACTCTCAGCTCAGATGTTTCCTTCCCAGTGAGCCCTTCCCTCTCATCCAGAGTGCCCACCCACCCGCTGGTCAATCTTTATCTGATGCCCTGTTTGAGTTTGTTCAGCACGCTGAACATCTCAGGAAATTCTCTTATCTATGTGTCTACAGACTGTCTCTGCCACTAGAATGTGTGTCCCTTAGAGGCAGGACCCTTGTGTTCCTTAAGGCATCAAAACCCCAGGGCCCGACCTGGAGCCGGGTGGAAAGATAAAAGGAAAGCGAGTTGCCAACTCACCCTCTGAGTCCATTCAGCAGCCTGACCCATTGCCCCAAAACACAACTTGCTCAGCATTAGAGCGTAATATCCAATATGGTATTAGCAGAGAAACATGCTCAATCCGTATCCACAAAATAAATGAGGAAATGATAGAGCATTCCTGTGGTATATTAGTGTTAGTCGCTCAGCCATGTCTGACTCTTTGCAACCCCATGGACTGTAACTCTCCAGGCTCCCTGTCCATGGAATTCCCCAGGCAAGAATACTGGAGTGGGTAGCCATGGCCTCCCCCAGGGGATCTTCTCAACCCAGGGATCAACCATCTGAGACAAAAGAGCAGGACCTTCCCTCTGCAGCTCTGGACTCTGCCCTGAGCTCTTGAAGCCCCCAAGGTGAGAGCATTTTCTTGAATCATACCCAAGCTTCTAGTCAACTGGAAGCCCTCAGATAGCTGATCGGCTCAGCCTACTATCCAGATGCAGACAACATTGGAGGCTTAAAATAGACTTCTTTAATTTCTGTTAAACTGTACCTTCTAGACTTGGTCTTGGACCCCAGCCTCCAGGACTTTTCGAGTCTAATTCTGCTATCTTGTCCATTGGGATGGTGTCCAGTTTTCTGCCATCAGCAACATCACCAGCATGCTGTCTACATCCTTCCTCACCAAGTCCCTCATGAACGCCCTGAGCAGTCTTGGCAAGTGCAGCCCACTCATCAACCTCCCCAGCTGTGCCCGCCCCCAGCCCACATTCCTTTGTCACCTGTAAGGCTTTGATGGGAAGACAAGAACAATTTCTTGCTGAAATGCAGGTACCCCTGTCTCCTGCTTTACCACCCCCAACCTAACTTCTAGTCTGGAAAACTAATCAGAAAAACAAATAAAGCTTTCCCCAGCAGGATGGGTTCCCAGGGAATTCACTCGCTGCCAGTGGTCCTGTATCTCTTTCCTTGCTAAGTGCCCCCAAACCATCTCTTTAATAACAGACTCTGAAACCTGATTAGGACTGATGCTAAGCTCATTTGTTTATGGTTTGTGGACTTATTTCCTCTCTGTAAAGATACAAATTACTTTCACCATCTCCTACTTTGGGGCACACGTCCTATTCTCTGAGAGGGAGTGTGCATAGTGGTGGTGAGCACTGCCACTGACTCTGTGCCTCAGTTTTGTCATCTGAAAAATGGGGAGAACAACAGTACCTAGATCATAGCATTGTTATGAAGGGTAGATCAATGTATGCCTGCAAAGCATTTATAACATGACACATAATATAAATACACATAATAAGCTAGTACAACTTTCGTGATATAAGAGTAATAGTTTTTTGAGTGCTTAGTCTCAGAGCTATGGCAGCCTCCTCTTCAAGTCCCTTGGGAGGTAGCCGTCTCAGGTATGAAAGCTAAAGTTATTTCGAATGGCTCCATCCTATCTTATGATTGCTTCCCTCATCCACGGACTCAGCTAGGCTCCTGTGACTCTGAAAAGCATTCTTCTTTGGCTCAAAAAAGGGTTTGCCTAAAGCCACCCACATGGGCAGGCAGCCTCAGCCTCCTCTTCTTCCCTTGTATCTTGGGCAGGTGTAGCTGACCCATCCTGATCTTGGAACTCACCTCCCTTCCAGCCTTCCTACCTGTGAGCCTGCATTATGTTCATTTGTCTTTCACCTGGTGCCTGTTAAATGAGCTCCTTCTCTGGGCTAGGACCTCAGAATACAGACGAGGACAAGCGGGAAAAGGGCCTGCCCTCATGGAGCTCACATTCCAGGGGAGCCACGGGCAATGAACAGACAGGCGAATAAAATAATGTCAAGTAGCATGAGAGTTTTGACGAAAGGAAAGGAGGTGAGGGAGAAGCTGCTTTCCATCAGTCAGATGGTGCTCGGCCTGCAATAGGGTTTTGCAGGTTGCCTGAAACTGCAATCTGCCCTTCATGTCTGTGTCTCACCAGCGTGCTTGCAAGGCAGCCTTCTTCTCTGTCTCTGAACGCATTCACAGCCTACGCTTAGGATCACATTGCCCTCCTCATACTCTTGCCTCAGGTTCGAGGGGCTTTTCAATCTCTTCTCTGCGCTATTTGCAATCTGCCCTTGGGAGCCTAGAGCACTTGTCTAACCTCCCATTTCCTGAATACCAAGAGTTCCCGGGTGGCCTGAGTCACCTTTCCCAGGGTTCCTGTCACTTCTACATGCATGCGTGCTAAGTCGCTTCAGTCGTGTCCAACTCTGTGCAACTCTTTGGACTGTAGCCCACCAGGCTCCTCTGTCCATGGGATTCTCCAGGCGAGATTACTGGAGTGGATTGGCATGCCCTCCTTCAAGAGATCTTCCCAACCCAGGGATCGAACCCAGATCTCTTATGTCTCCTGCATTGGCAGTCGGGTTCTTTACCACTAGCGCCACCTGGGAAACTCTATCATTTCTGTATCATCATTCAATTAATTCTTCCTCCTTGAGCAGAACTGGATCCAGAGTTCCTGTTCCCCTCACTGCTTCAGGTACCTTCTGAAATCGTCATTGAGACAAAAGAGCAGATGCACTGCTCTTAGCTAAGTAGGACTCCCAGCAGATGTCTGGGGAGGTGAAGTCTGCTAGCATTGCTGAACCTTATTCCTGGGGCCAATTTGGGGAGATGCAGTAAGAGCATGGTCTCTGTTTACTTACTGGCCAGACCAGGGTGTTCCCCCAAATGACATTACTTCCTTTCTCCTTTTATTCAGCCACCCCTGGAAGGAAAGACCTGTTCATTCTTGGCTTCAAAAGTGAAAGTGTTAGTCGCTCAGCCATGTCTGACCCCATGGACTGTAGCCCACCAGGCTCCTCTGTTAATGGGATTTTTCTAAGCAAGAATACTGGAGTGGGTTGCCATTCCCTTCTCCAGGGGATCTTCCCAACCCAGGGATTGAACCCAGGTCCTCTGCATTGCAGGCAGATTCTTTACCATCTGAGCTACCACAGAAGCCCCTTGGCTTCAAGGGTCCTGCTACTTTAGAAGCTGGTGCAAAGAGGTTTGGATGGGGCAAATGGGAAGAAAGCTCCAGGGTCAGGTCTGGCAGAAGCCTTGGGAAGGGGTGTGGCGACAGCAGGGCTTCCAGCATGTCTCCATCAAGACCGCTAACAGTTGTCATGCCTGTCCACAGTGTGGAGGAAGGAGCCGGGGTGGGGGGGGCGGTGCTGGAATCTGGGTGTCCCTCCCCCAGACTCAGGATTCCAGCTGACTTGACAGAGGAGGGAGACAAGGAAGGGCTGACTCTACCCAGGGCAAAGCAGGGACTGCCCAGCAAACTTGCCAGATGTTCTTCCTCTTAAAAAGGAACCAGCCAGGCTTCCCTGGTGGTCCGGTGGTTAAGAATCTGCCTTGCCAATGCAGGGGGCACAGGTTCGATCCCTGGGCCAGGAAGATTCCACATGCTGCAGAGCAACTAAGCCTGCATGCCACAACTACCAAGCCCACGTGAGTGCAACTGCTGAAGCCTGTGTGTCTGCAGCCTGTGCTCTGCAACAAGAGGGACCACTGCAGTGAAAAGCCCGCACATTCCAACTAGGGAGTAGCCCCCACTTGACACAACTAGAGAAAGCCCCGGCGCAGCAGGGAAGACCTAGCACAGCCATAAATAAACAAATAATTTTTAAAAACAGAAAAGGAACCAGCTCATCTCCAGGCATCATTTCACTTGAGATTCACGATCTTCCCAACAGAAGGCAGGGAAAATATGATCATACTCATTTTACAGAGGATAAAACAGAGGCAGTGGCTCTGCCTCAAATCACTCAGAATATTCTAGGCTGGAGCAGCACTGCAGCTGATAAACTCTTTCAAGGACCCTAGAAGGCCTCTCCACCACAGAAGGCAGTGGTTCCCACCGGGAGTTCATGGACCAGTGTAGGGCTGGCTGCCTAACAAGGACCACCGAAGGAGAGGAAGGGCAGAGGGTGCTCTTACCTGGAGGGAGATTCCAGGTCAGCACGGCTGAGGATGCGATGCTGCTGGGGGCTGTAAAGCCACTGGAAGGCTGTCAGCGTCCTCTCCTCAATTCGGAACCGTCCCTCCTGCACATACCTGCGGGTGAGACGGGGGAGAGTCAGGCGGTGGGCAGGCAGGGCCCTGCAGAGGCCCTCTGGGAGTTGGCCCTGCGGGCCAGAAAGTGATAGATGAGAGGTACCTGTCCCCAAATACCCCTGCTCACCAGCCAGAAAGTCTTATCTCCAAAGAGCCATGATTTAAATTCCCTGAAGAATAGGCAGCTATACGGAGCAACTCAATAGACAAACTTTCTAAGTGTTAGTTGTCTGAAGTTGAAAGGAGTCAGTCGGGAAGGGTGAGTTTCCCGTCACCAGAGGTATGTAAGCGGAGGCTGGGCAGAGAACACAAACATCAGACAAGGGTCCATTCTCCAAGCCCTTTGTAAGACTGACACGTTGGACTTCTTGAGCTCACAGCAGGAGAAAGCATGCTCTGGGGTGGGGGGTCATGACTCAGATGTCAGGATTAGATCTTCCAGAACCTCAAGGGTCTCTCCCAGGATTCCAGCCACCCTGGGGATTGACACTCAGCCCAGACCAAGGATCAGGGAAGCTGGACCGGGCAAGGTGAACACAAAAGGATCTCATTCACTTCGGCCACCAACTCCTGGTAGACTCATAAATCCGTCCATTAATCCAGTATTTACTGAGCGCCTGTGAGAATGAGCAAAAGAGACATAATCCCTGACATCCTGGAGCCTACAGTTTTGTGGGAAGAGAAGCCATCAAATAATCACATGAACTATAATATATCATTATATTGATTATAATATATCATTATAAACCAGCCCCCTCACACATGGTGGGATTGTCAATTGGTACAAGCCCTCTGCTGGATAGTCTGACAACATCTGTCTGAATTACAGATGCAGTTCCTCTGAAATCCAGCTATCCCTCTTCAAAGAATTTATCTACGAATTCTAGCATGTGCACAAGGTTATACATAGCTCTGTTTCTAATAACAGAAGACAAGGAATGGACCAAGCAGCCATCAGCAGAGGGCTGGTTAAATAAATACCAGTGGAGCCATAGAGCACAACAGTGGGCAGCCATACAAAGTGTTTTTAGTGAGGGCATTCCCTGCGTGCTATCATGCAAACACCTCCGGGATACATTGTTTTCTCTTTTTTTTTTTTTGAGTTTTTGTTTTTCTTTTTGATACATTATTTTAAAGGGGGGGAGAATAAAGTAAGAATTTTTATTTGCTTATCTTTACATGTAGAAATTCTGGAGACACAAAAGCTAATAAAAGTAGTTACCTAGGTTGGGGTAAGCACAAGCTGGGGGAACGGGGAGGCGGGGAGGGAGTAACTTTTTAACAATGTGTCTTTTTATACAGGAGACTTATGACCTATTATTAAAAATCTGTAATTATGTGTGTGTGTATGAAATAACAAACTGTATAAAGTGCTATGAAAAAAAACAAATTGTGCAGCTATTCTGATACTGCCTGATCGGGCACAGGCTCTTTGTTGAGGGAGATTTCCCAGAATGCCAGTTACAGGAGGACAGAGGGCTTCCATTGCTCCCATGGTCTCCCAAACCAGGGCATCTGGTCCCCACCTGTCTCCCTTAACTCTCTTCGATATGATCTGACGGGCATTTCAGGAAGATCGTCCTGGAGGAAAAGGGTAAGGCAGCCAGGTTAGATGTTCTTGCAGGGGGTCCAGATGGGACAATGCTGACTTGCACAGGAGACAGTGCTGGAACAGAGAGACACGGCAGAACTCAAGTGAGAGAAGGAAGCAGTGTCATCTGGACCTAGGGATGGGTCGGACATGGTGAACGGGAGACAGGTAACAAAGTTTTCCTAAGTTTCTGGTTTGTGTGGGCATCTGGGTGCAGTGTCCTTCTCTCTGGACAAGGACAAGTTTAGGAGGAAAAATCATAATTTTATGACTTTCCTTTGTGGGACATGACCTTCCTCTGCTTCCTGCCTCAAGATTACTCCTGCCCTATAAAACTTGGTTCCAAACATGACTCCTTACAAAACAAATAAGTTGGCTCCTCCGGGAAGCCTCCCCTGATTAATCCCATCCTATTGTGACGATGCATGTCTATGCCTTTCCTCATTCTCGGGTTCCTCCTCCTTGTCCTAGCCCACCCTCCTCTCCTCTCCCCAGGTCAGGGCAGAAGGGACTGTTGTCCACTCGTTGCAGGCACCCCAACCCGGATTCCACTTCCCAGCTTCAGGTGAGTGCTTTTCCACTCTGAGTCCCGGATTCCTCGTCTGTAAAATTGGAATAATAACACCACCCACTTCAAAAGGTTGTTAAGAGGATTAAATGAGATAATTCGAGGAAAGCTCCTGCCACATGGTCATCCTTATCGCCTCCCCTCTCCCCCCCCCACCTCTCACCCCATCCTCATCTGTCCTCACCAGTCATCGGCTTTACCTGCTTCACTCAAGACAGACAAACCCTCTCCCTGAACGCTCTGCTCCAAGCTTCACATGAAATCCCTCAGAACTGGCTGATCTCATTTCAGAGATGAGGAAGAAGGACTCGGGGGATGGAAGTGAACTCGTCCAAGGTCACAAACACACAGGAAGCAGCAGCCTTCTCTATACCTTCATCCCCTGGCATCCAGTCCTCTCTCCACACACACACACACATCCTCTCCCTCCTCCGTACCAGCCCCCACTTCCCAGCACAGATCTTGTCAGCCCCTCCCCTGGCCAAAAAGGTTAGGGGCTTCCCACCACATATCAAATGTCCTCCAAACTGCTCACCTGAGAGGTCTAATTCTTCCCCACTTTGCTCCCCTCCAGTCCTTCCCGCCGTGACATGCCTTCCCCCTCACTCCCACCCCTACATTCTCAATCTGTTTGTCCTTCTCTAAAGATGCCCTGCCTTTTGTAACCTCTGAGCTTTAGCTCAGGCAGTGCCCAGATCTCAGCTTCCCTCCCTCCATCTGTGTCTTGCTCCACCCTGGCCAACTGCTCAAACCACACTGCTTCTAAAAATCTGTCCCCAGCCTCCCAGTGAGCCTCCAAAGTGGTTCCAAGTTTCCGGGGATGCTTTGCTTAACCTTGGTCACCACGCTGCTCTCTGCCCGCTCGTACGTGAGTTATTTATGTGCCTGTCTGTCTCCCTGATAGAGTGCAAAGATTATATATGATCATCTCTGAAGTCCCTGTGACACTCTCACTCAGCTCCCCAGTCAAATGAGCCAGTTTGCCTTAAAAAATCACAATAGTCACAGTCATCAACTCACTATGTTCTTGAGAAGATTTTCCAGAGACTGCTCTGACAGAGATGATCTCCATTAATGAATCCAATTTACTAACTTAGGAGGTAGGATTGGCTGCACTGGATGGACTTCATCGACTATAGGAAAACAGAACATCATCCCTCCCCAGATATCTTCCCTATAAACCTGTCTCACACCTGAAACTCTACTCAACAGTACACAGGGGATTAAATACTGCAGACGGTCAACCTTGGAAGTCACTAATAGCCATTCACACTTCAGCAAGAACCAGCTTCTCAGATTATCTCTGGGAAAGTAGGAGTCAAGACGTGGGCACGATCAGGGACATTGAAAGGAACGAGAAGAGAGGAGCAGAAACCACTCACATAAGAGGCCCCCAGTGTGGAGGATGCAATCCATCACCAAAAGAGAGAAGGGTCAGGCACTTTAGAGGTTACACCTATTTTTTCCGTTGAACACTGGGGTAGGTCAGACGGGCACTGAAACCTGAACCTTGAAAACCTTTTGCTAAGTGAAAGAAGCCAGTCACAAGGGACCACGTGCTGTATGATTCCATTTATATGAAATGATGTCCAGAATAGACAGATCCATAAAGAGAGAAAGATTAGTGGTTGCTTAAGACTGGGGGTGGGGGGGAGGGGGACTGCTGAAGGTTATGGAGTTTCTTTGGGGGATGATGAAAATGTTCTTAAATTGACTATGGTGATAGTTGCACAGTCCTGTGAATATATTCCCACTGAATTTTACACTTTGGGTAAGTTGTGTGGCACGTGAATCCTATTTCAATAAGGCTGCTGTTAAAATAAGTGAATAATAGTGCGTACTGATATAAATGAATGATTGAATGATTAAATAAATGGAGAGGAGAGACAAATCTCACGTGCAGAAGAATTCCAAACAACATATGTAAACAGTCTACCCCCAGGAAGGTGGACCACTGCTCCCTCTACATAGATGTGGGCTTCACAAAGCAACTTCCTTCAAAGAGTACACTGTGGTGGCGCGGGGTGGGGGGGAGGGGGGAGTAACGCCAACAAACACTACTTCAGCCAGGTGGTCAAAGTCAACATCAACAAGCTTTTTTCTGGCCACACCCCAGCAGCACCTCCCCCAGGGATTGAACCTGTGCCCCCTGCAGTGGAAGCACGGAGCCCTAACCTCTGGACCGCCAGGGAATTCCCTTGATAAGCTATGTTGGCAGTAGGTATCCTTGATATGATGTAGGAAAATGACACTCTGTCCTTGTGATCTTCTTCTCCCAAATTCATAATTCCAATCTAATAATGAGAAAAACATCAGATACATCCCAATTGAGGGACATCATCCTACAAAACAGGGCCACAACTCCTCAAAACTGTCAAATTAATCAAAAACAAGAGAAGTCCAAGAAACTGTCACAGCAAAGAGGAGTAATTACATTAATTACTAAATGCCATGTAGTATCTAGATGGGACCCTATAACAGAAAAAGGACGTAAGAAATACGAATAATCTATGGGGCTTAGTCAATAATAATATATCAATATTGGTTCATTTTTGTAAGAGATGTACCATACTAGTGTAAGAAGCTAATAATACAGAAAAGTGGGTGTGCGGTATTTGGGAACATTGTGCTATCTTCTCAATCTTTTTGTAAATCTAAAGCCATTCTAAGGGCTTCCCCAATGTCTCAGCAGGTAAAGAATCCACCTGCAATACAGGAGACACATCCCTAAGTGGGGAAGATGCCCTGGAGGAGAGCAAGGCAACCCACTCCAGCATTCTTCCCTGGAGAATCCCAAGGACTGAGGAGACTGACAGGCTACAGTCCAAAGGCTCGCAAACAGTTGGATACAACTGAGCAACTACATATGCACACATGCAAAACTGTTATAAAATACAAAATTTACTAAAAAATAAAAAATACTAATCTCCATGATGAAGAGCTTTTGGAGGTCAATGTGAAAAATACATATAATGAGCAAATCAACAGGGGGAAAAAGGACAAAGGAAATTAAATGAGTAGTTTACAAAAATAGAAACACAAATGACCAATAAACATTAAAAAAAATCAATTTCTATAAGAAATGAAAATTAAAACAACGAAAAACCATTTTTCACCAGCAACATGAACCAAGGTTTAAAAGTTTGTGATTAATAATTCCCAGTATGGAAAAAATAATAATAATTCCCAGTATGGGCAAAATTGTGGAGAATGTGCAACTCACACATCACTGGAGATAATATGTGTGTGTGTGTTAGTCACGCAGTCATATCAAACTCTCTGCAACCTCACAGATTGTACCCCACCAGGTTCCTCTGTCCATGGAATTCTCCAGGCAAGAATACTGGAGCAGGTTGCCATTTTCTTTCCCAGAAAATCTTCCCAACCAGGGGATCAAACCCTGGTCTCCTGCATTACAGGCAGATTCTTTACCGTCTGAGCCACAGGGAAGCCCATGAAATGGTGCAGCTTCTTTGGTGCTCAAACTGCCATGGCAGAACGTACACGTCCTTTTACTCTGCAATTTCACTTTGGAGAATACATCCAACCATTATCTTTCCACATGTTTGCATGGGTATAGGTTCCCTGCAGCGATGTTTGCAATATCAAAATATTCAGAATTCCTTGAAAGGCCATCAATAGAGGCTAGATAAAGAAATTATGGTTCAACTGTGAATGGAATACTTTAGAGTCAGTCAAAAGTATGTTGCCAGAGCATTCTGCACTGTTTTTCAAGTTCTCACACAACCGGAGCCTGCACTCTCTGTCAGGTCCTTCCCCCAGATCCAAAGCCCCACCATCAGAAACTCGGCAACAGGCCCTCAGACAGTAAGAGGAATGCCAAAAAGTCTTACATATTTAATAACTTGATCTGATGAACCCAAGCAAATTCTAATTTAGTTTTTGGTACTTTATGGAGAATTTGGAGAAGGAACCTTCAAAGCAAGAGCTGTTCTAAAAGAGTAAGTAAGCGTCAGACATATTTGTTGCCCAAAGAATATTCCCCACCCTCCTTCCCATTCAAAATTTTGTGGTTTGGGTGGAACTAACTCCAGCCCCCGGATTCCAGGGTGAGCACATGACCCAGCCTGGCCAATCTAAGCACTCCGTCCTCCATTCCACAGTGATTGGCTGAAGGATGGCCATGTGACCCAAAATAGGTCAATGAAATGACATTCTGAAACTTCTGCTGGAACCACTGAGAAAGAGAAGCTCTTTTTTCAGGAGGGTTTTGGTCATCTGAGGGTTGCCTGCAACTCCTGAGAGACACCTTCTTTCCACAAGGGAATAAAGAGGGAACAGAGGAAAGAGAAAGGACAGAGAGAGTAAGACGTTATTTGGTGACATTAGTTGAGAACTTGAATCCAGTTTTGTCTGAAACATGGAAACTTCTGTTTTCAGATCTGTAAGCCAATACTCTTAAAAGGGAACCAATACTCCCTTTTACTCTTAAGCCAATTTAAGTTGAGAAAACTGACTCAATCTGAGATCCAGGAAGCAGAGGCCAAGGCTGATCATGTTGGGAGCATGCCATGGAGTTCAGGTGTCTTGTCCTCAAGAGTGCTCCCTACCAGGCAGTCTGACCACTCAAGTTATGTCTTCAGGACCTTCTCAAAGCCATGGGCTTTTTTACCCAAGACTGAAAGGTGATCCAAAATCTAATTAGGGTCCTAATAACGATCTATGCTTCATCTGGTTCAACCCAAGGTCCAACCCAGCCACACATCAGGGCAGAGAGAGTCAGAGCAGGAATCCAAGCTCTGCCCCTTTAAGACTCTTCCTGTTTCCTCCTCCATGGAGGGAGGGAAGGAATCAAACTGCACAAACTGACCTGGAAGGCCCTGGAGTCCTAGGGTGGTGCCTTCTCTCCAGGGAGAGGGTACTAAGTAACTACCCACTCCCCACCAGCTCTTCAGACAGATTAACTCTGCTTTTATCTGATTTATATATTGGGGTTTCATCTGAAGAGTAACTCCACTGCTAAATGATTATTTTGATTATTTGGACTTTGATTCTTGGAACTCTTGAAGGACAGGATGGACTGAGCAGGCTGGAAACCCACTGACCCCTCCTGCTCTGACATGCTGAGATTTTTTTGACAATGTGAACTTGGAATGCTGGCCAGGTCCAGAGTTCAGGAATTAAGAAGCAAAAAGGAGGAGGAGGGACTTCCCTGGTGGTCCGTGGTTAAGAATCCACCTTGCAATGCAGGGGATATGGGTTCCATCCCTGATTGGGGAACAAAGATCCCACATGCTGAGGGTCAGCTTAGCCAGTGAGCAACTGCTGAGTCCTTGCACTGCAACTAGAGGGTCCAAAGACCGTAATGAAAAGATCTTGCCTGTTGCAACTAAGACACAGCCAAATAAACACTTAAAAAAAAAAAAAAGGAAGAGGAGGAGTTAAACCCCTGGGGAAACCCTGAGTTCAAACCCTGACTCTGTCACTTGCTTGCTGGGTGACCTTGATTAACTACCTTCCTTCTCTGAGCCCCAATTTCCTCATCTGTAAGAGGGGGGTGCCAATACCTTCCTAAAGGAAATCAACCCTGAATATTCATTGGAAGGACTGATGCTGAAGCTCCAATGCTTTGACCACAATGCTTTGATGCAAAGAGAGGACTCCTTGGAAAAGACCCTGATGCTGGGAAAGATTGCAGGCAGGAGGAGAAGGGGGAGACAGAGGATGAGATGGTTAGATAGCATCACTGACTCAATGGACATGAATCTGAACAAACTCCGGGAGATAGTGAAGGGCAGAGGAACCTGGTGTCCTGCAGTTCATGGGGTCACAAAGAGTCAGACACGACTTAGAGTCTGAACAACAACGACACCTTCCTCTGAGTATCGCCGCAAAGAGTAACTGAATCAATGCCTGATTATGGTAGAGCCAACAGGAAGGGGTCTGGAAGCCAGGTTGCAATTATTAAGGATATTATTGCTGTTCTTTGTATTCAGGCTACAGAATGCATCTGGCAAGCAGTGTCCTGGAATTCTTCTTCAAAGATGCCCCTGGCCCTGGTGTGGATGGGAGGATTTGAGATGGGGAGGGGTCCCAGCCAGACATTCTTAGAATCCTTCCAGGACAGGAATGGGCTGAAGAGGCTGCCCTGCATTCTAAGTCCCGTCAAGCAGAGGTCGGATCCCTGAACATTCGGGCAACCGGGACTTGGGCCCAACCCAGGTGACTTCTTAGTGATGCGTCTGAAACCTTCTTGGCCTGCAGTCTGGCAACCTGACACCGCAGGCTCTGATTTCCCAGCCTGGACAGGACTGCGGTGGGGGGAGGGGCAACGACCCTTGGGGTATCTCTTCCCTCACCTCCTAGGCACCCCCTTCTCCAACACCCCCATGCCCAAGGTGCCCACCGCCGCGCGTCCGCATTTAGGTGCACTGAGGCATCTCCTTGAACAGGCGAGATGAGAATTGCAGGTTGGACCCAGAGCAGCAGAAGGTTTGAGGGTAACAAGGGGAGTCCCTCTGCACAGAGAGCTAACGAAGACCGAGGTGCCCCCAAAGCCTAACGTCGGGGGTCCGGGCGACGATCGCTCTGGAGAACCGCGAAGACCAGGCTCGGGTCGCGGGACGGAGATGAGCAGGCAGCCCAGTGCCTCTAGTTCAACCTGGCCCCGCCGCCTCCGCTCGAGAAGAAACTTCGAGCCAGCGCCCCGGCTCCCTCCCGCGCTCCGCCGGGCCTCAGCGCGCGGGTGCGCGCCCGCACCAGGCCCCGCGCCCCCCGGGTGCCCACTCACCAGCGCACCAACTGCCAGCGCTTCTCCCCCGGCGCCCGGCGACCCGCCATGCTTCCCGGCCGCCGCCCGCTCCCCACCCGCCACGGGCCGCACCGTGGAAGCAGCTCCGGCTGCCGCAGGCCAGTGCCGAGGGCGCGCTCCGCAGCGCGGGTCCGGCGGGCGGGGCGGGAGCGAGGCGAGTCGGCCCGAGCCCGGGCGGTGCGGCCGGCCGCGCGCATCTCCCCCCGGACGGCCGCCGGCCCCGCCCCTGGAGTCGGTCGGGGCTGGGTCACCGCGCTCGTCGCCGCGGCCGCGAGACCGCAGCCGGTCCCCTCACTGTCTTCACCCACGCCCAGTCTGCCCAGAGGTGCAGCGGAGCGGACTCGCTTTGGAGCACTGGGCGAGGAGTCAAGTTCTCCAAATTCTACCTGACTTGCTGAGTAACTCGAGGGAATTCACTTAATCCCATTGTTTCACTTCCTTATGACACCTGTTCCACCTACCCAGAAAGTTATGCCCCAAAATATACTATAAATGGCTTAAATAAAAACTGATGCGCCTTACAGATTACTGAACTATTTTAAGACGGTAGTCATTGGCTTCCCAGGTGGTTCAGACGTAAAGAATCGGCCTGCCAATACGAAAGAGGTAGGAGACTTCAGTTCCATCCCTGGGTCTGAAAGATCCCCTGAAGGAGGAAATGGCAATCCACTCCAGTATTCTTGCCTGGAAATTTTCATGGACAGAGGAGCCTGACGGGCTATAGTTCCGTGGGGTCACAGAGTCGGACAGAACTGAAGCGTCTGAGCACAGTACTCACAATAAAATATTATGGCATTGGCCCAGAACGTTGCCAAACCCTAGGATTTTCTCCACCCAGGCCTTCAAACTACTTTCATCCCAGAACGTTAATTTGAGTTGAGCAGAGACCAGCCTGGCCCACAGCATCACGGGAGCCTGGTTTGAAGGAGCTGAGTGTTAGACATGTTTATAGAGATTGCACGCAGCAGAGTGCCAGCCACCTGCCTTTCATGTCAGGATAGTCCACATCCTTTGCGGGAGGGAACCTTACGCAGAGAGGAGAATATCTGGCTCTGGATGTAGAGCTCCGGAGGCTTATCTTCCCATTAGGGACTGGGGGCCCCTACTCAGGAGCTCGGCACAAGTTTCCAGGGGAATCCAAATGCTACTGACATCTGTCACCATATCCATAGGCATCCTCCCCAGGGTTCAACAAAAAATCAAGATTACATAAATCCTGATAATCCTTATCTGAACTTTCCAATAGGTCTCAACTAAGGAACTGACAGGAAACAACAAGGACTGAAAAACCTAAACAACATGTAAAAGAAAACAGGGAAGGCATAACACACAAGATTGGCAGCTCGCCTTTGACCTTTAAGTATAGTGTCTAGCATGAGGCTAGCAATTGCCTTTGAATATCCTTTCTTTAAGCTTCCCCAACATAATTAACAAAGAAACCAAGGAAACAGAATAGAAGGTCTAAAAACATCCCCAGACGTGTGTATGTGTGATACATGTATTTCAAATTAGTGAGGGATATGGTGATGGGACAATTAACCATTTTCAGGGAGAAAAAAAGGCTTCTCTTTCACATCACAAAGCATATTTCAGATGAATTATAAATGTAAATGTATAAACATATAAAAAGGACTCAAAAAATACATAGGTAAGTATTGTCATATTAAAATAGGGATGGACTTTTTTAAGCTTGCCATCAATGGCAGAAGTCTTATGGAAAGAGAGTAATGGATTTGACTGAAATAAAAATATTTAACCTTAGCACATCACAAAAATACAGTAAGCAAAGTTAAAAGGCAAATATCAAACCGATTTAAAAATATACATGCCTGTATTTGAATATCCATATTCACAGCAGATTATTCACAATAACAAATGAGTGGAAGAAACCCAAGTATTCATGAGTGTATTCATGGAGAAGCGAAACATGGTCTACACATAAGATGAAATATTATTCAGCCTTAAAAAGGAAGGAAATTCTGATACACACTACAGCATGGGTGAACTTTGAAGGTATTATAATAAGTGAAATAAACAAGTCACGAAGAGCACTACTGTATGAGTTCACTTGCACGAAGTACCTAGAGTGGCTACATTTATAAAGACCGAAGGTGGAACCATAGTTGGCAAGGTCTGGAATTGGAAAGGGAAGAATGGGGTGTTCATTTTAACGGGCACAGCTTTTCAACTTTACAAGATGAGAAGAGTTCTAGAAATGGGCCGTGGTGATGCTGCGCAGTAGTGTGAATGTATTTAATGCCATTGAATTGTACCCTTTAAAATAGTTAAGAGGGCTTCCCTGGTGGCTCAGTGGTAAGGAATTACCTCGCCAATGCAGGAGACCCAGCTTCCAGCCATGATCTGGGAAGATTTCACATATGGCAGAGCAACTAAGCCCATGTACCACAACTACTGAGCCTGTGCTCTAGAGCCTGGGAGCAATGACTGTTGAGCCCATGTGCTGCAACTATGGAAGCCCAGGTGTCCTAGGGCCCAGCTCTGCAACAAGACAAGCCACCCCAATGAGAAGCCTGTGCACTGCAACTAGAGAAAAGTCCATGCAGCAGCGAAGACCCAGCATGGCCATAAATAAATAAAATTATTTGTTTTAAATAGTTACAGTAGCAAATTCTATGTTGTATACATTTTACTATACAGTAAAAAATTTTAATGTTGAAAGCTATTAGTACAAAGAAATAAGAAATGATAAATGTTCTAATAGAGAAATGGCAAAGGACATGAACAAGCAAGTCGCAAAAGAAATATAAATAGATAGTAGACACATTTTTTAAATTTAATATTACTGGAAATTAAGGACTTGAAAATTTAAGTGTGACAGTACTTTTTTCATTTGTCAAATTTGGAACAGTTGGTTGTTGCTGAATTGTTAATTATCCCTTGCAGGGCTTGTGTGGAGAAGGGAGACTCTCCCAGTTATGACTGAGATTGATGTACAAATTGGTCCAACTATTGTTCATGGCAGTTTGACAGTATGATCAAAAGTCAACAAATGTGTATATCCCTTGACTTAGTAATTTTTTCTTTTTGAAATTCATCCTAAGGAGATAATTAGAAATATGGAGGAGAGACTTCCCTGGTGGTCCAGTGGTTAAGACTCTGCCTTCCAATGCATGGGTTCAGTCCCTGGTCAGGGAACTAAGATTCCACGTGCTGCGAGGTATGGCCAAAATTTTAAAAGGTAAATAAAAATAAATTTTAAAAATAAAATAGATAATCTAATAAGGGCATACTGTCTAGCATACTCTATAATGACCTATATGGGGAAAGAATCTAGAAAAAAGAGTGGGTTAAAAAAAAAGAAAAAAAAGAGTGAATATATGTATATGTGTAATTGATTCACTTCGCTATACACCTGAAACTAACACAACATTGCATATCATCTATACGCCAATAAAAATTTTTTTAAAAAATGAAACGTGTGGGGGGAAAAAAGTCTTTGGAAGAAGGTCCATTGCAACATTGTTTGCAAAGAGAGTAAAACTGAAGACAGCACAAAAGTCCAACAGGAGATTAAATAAATGAAGAAGCATTCCCATGTGATGGAACATTATACAGCTATTAAGAAAGACTTACTGGCATGAAAAAAATAAAGATATATTTTGAAATGAAAAAAAGTGTTACCAAGTAGAACTAGTATATTAATATACTTTCAGAAAATCTGGAAGAACTACATATTTTTAAAGTGATTTATCTCTGGGTTGGTGAAGTTACAGTGGTTTTTATCTTACTGTTTTTCTTACCCATATACCCTAATTTTTCTAAGTAAACATTTTGTGCAATAAGAAAAAATACAATAAGTCACTTGTTAAATGATAAAGCTACCAAGACACTCACAACATTACTGCTTATAACATTAAAAAATAGAAAGAATCAAATTATCAGACAATAAAAATATGGATAGATGCAGTACACTGTACTTTATCAATACAAAGAACAACACTGCAGCAGGAGAAAAACATTCATGCTATATTGCTAAGCCAAAAAACAGACTACAAAATGAGATGGTAAAATTATATATAATTAAGATTTTATATAGTTAGAATTTTTTTAATGCCAAATGTTACTTTTTGTTAGGCCTGGAAAGTAAAAGTGGGCACTTTTATTTTTATGTCTTTGCTTGTCGAGAATTCCAAAGATTTCTGCAATGAATAATAAGGGAAATTTTTTTTTAATTTTAATACACAGGCATTGATGAGTGAATGAAGACATGTAAAAGCTTCTGTAATAAAACACAATATTTAAAAGCACTGACAGGACTTCCCTGGTGGTCCAGTGGCTAAGACTCCACACTTCCAATGCAGGGGGCCTGGGTTTCATCTCTGGGCAGGAAATTAGATGCCACATACCACAAGCAAGAACCAGTGCACACAAATAAATGAATAAATATGTTTTAAAAACCTGGCTGAAGGAAGTGGTACATTTAAGCAAAATGTGGAGCATTACATGTGGTAGAACTAATACAAAATTAGGGGAAAATAAAGGAAAAGAGGGGCCATAATTATACCAGATAACCAAAGAACTGGGGAGTTCGTTGCCCGAGATCATAGAGAGTGGTCTGGAATGGAAGAATTTCAGGCACAGGTACTGGCACGTCTCATATCCCTTCAATGAAGCCGGTCAGCTGAGTGTCTGAGCTCTGTGCCCTAGAGGGAGGAGGATGTGGGCAGGGTTGAGGCAGAGGTGGTATGTCTGAACCTGAATTGCAACTAGTATACACACACGTACAAACACACACACACACACACACTCAGAGCTCATTCTTGTTGTCATACTAGTGGTTTAGGAATAATTTGAAACTCCAAAAGCCTGCTGAGATGTTAGGGACCATTTTCTCCAAATGAACAGAGGAGCCTGCAGAGCAGTCCATGAGGCTGCAAAGGAGTCGGAGACGCCTTAGCGACTAAAACAACAATTGATCCAAATCAGCCATCTGAGGAGAGTGCAGCCTTGCCCCAGTTTGATCTTTCATTTGTTAGGTAAGCTGACTAAGAGGCTTATCCACAATAAC